TCTTGGGCCGTTTTGGGGCGGTTTTGGGGGACTGGGGCAGTCTTCAACGCCGTGAAGGCCGAAAAGTCGTGTATGATAGAAATGTACGTTTTTAATTCGACGATTTTGGCCTCTTGGGCCCCTCTTGGGAATGCTCTTGGAGGCTTCCTGGGCCGTCAGGGAGGCTTCTGGGGCCGTCTTGGGGCCATCCTGGGCGTCTTGGGCCGACCTTTGGGCGTCTCGGGGGCCTCTTGAGCCGTCGTGGGGGCTGCTTGGAGCCTTCTGGGGCCCCGTGGGGCCTGATGACACCTTTCCCCCCCCCCCACCCCCCTCCACGCCGGCCGGACCGGGCTCCCGGGGGATGGGTTTGGGGAGGGGGAAGCATCTCACACGCCGTGACCCCAAGGGGCCGGCGGATTTTCACGTTCAAATTTTCAAACGTTGTTGTTTTTGTTTCTCCAAGCTTTGAAACTTTACAAGCTTAGGTCGATGGAGCGTGTCGTTCGTTCGTTCGATCAACTTTTGCAGACTTTCAAGTCTGAAGACATGTTGAAACTTTGAAAAGGCACCGCCCCAAAGTTTGAAAACATGTGAGAGCGAAAGTCTGAAAGATGGAATGCGTGAACCGATTGGCGAGACCCTGCTCGCATTCATATTCTGGTAGTTTTGAAGCAGGACGTGCTCGCGAATCTGGCGTCCTCTTGTTCCTAAAACCCCTCCTCACTTTTCCTCTGCCGCCCGTGTGCTTCTGGCCTGGCTCTATTGGTCGCTCTGGCCCGCTCCTGGCCGATCCATGATTTCTGCAGGTGGATTGGTCGGGGATTCGAGGGTTGGAGGTTCGACTGGAATGGATTAGTTTTGGTTTCGCTCCTCAGGCGTTGCTCCGTGAGGAGTAGAGTTGCAACCTACCTTTTCTGCCCCCAGGGCCGGGCACGTGGCGAATAGAGCAGATTAGTACACTTTCTGTCCCTCTGCGTTGCCGCGCAACGGGTATATTACATTAGTATTTTCAACGCCCTCCTGGCATCGCTGGAGGTAGTTCTGAGGCCTCTTGGGGCTTCTTGGGGGCGTTCTAGGAGCCTCACCTCAGAAGAGACAAGTTATGGTTTCCCTCGTGAGTATTGGGGTCGCCCGCACCCCCTCGTTTTCGCTTGGGTTTTGCGCAAATGGGCGCGGAAACGCGGGCTTCTTACAATAACCTGCCGCGATGCAAGACACCGGCCAACAATTTGTTCCACTCCGCTTCAGCGGTGTATTAGAGCCTTGCCTGCCATATACGTTGTGCTGTTTTGGAGCCCTTCATGGGCCGTCTTTTGATGCATCTCGGAGGCCCCCTGGGCCTTGAATGGGGCTTCCTGCGGCTGCTTCGGGGCACTCCTTGAGGCCATTGCAGGCGTCGTGCTTTTTCAATGTCGTCTTGCATGCCTGGGCGTGCAGAACAGCGAGCACGCAAAAACCGTTGAAACACTAAGGGCCAGCGCGTTTTTTGCTCAGTGAAAAGCTTTCTGGCCCTCCCATGGGAACTTTCTGGGAGCGTGTTGGAAGCTTCTCGGGATGTCCCCGGGCATCCTTGTGTTATATGAGGATCGGGCCGGGCGAAAGGGGGGGATTGGGAAAGGGGGGTTACGAAATTTGCTGCATGCAGCTGGTTTCGGCCTCACCGAGGGGCCCATTCCTCGATACATAGTCGCCTCCGGCGCCGGGAGGCGCCGGGAAAATCAGCTACGTGAGCTGATTCTCAAACCCCCCCTTTACTATCCCCCCCTTTCGCCCGACCCGAGAGGACCCCCATTGAGCCGTCTTGAGGCCCTCTTGGGCTGTTTTGGAGGTCTCCTGGGAGTGTGTGTTGGGCCACCTTCGGCGGCCTGAGCCACACCGGGTCCGCCCAGGAAGGTTCAAATGCCTCCCCGGAAGGGCCTGGGGCAGCCCAGAGAGGCCCAACCACCGTCCAAGAGCTTGGCATCGCTAGGACGTGTGCGTTTTTTCCTCGGCGAGGACCATCGAGGAGCATCCTTGATCATTTGGCGGAAAAAACCACGCACGAAGCCGAACAAAAACACAGGGAATGGACGTCCGAGCGATGGCCAGTCAGCCCACCGAGGGAGCCCCTAAGAGAGCCCAAGAGGCACCCAAGGGGGCCCAAGGGGCACCCAAGAAGGTATACGTTTTGTATGGAGAAGCAGGGATCGCCAGCTCCCCCCGCAGTACCGATCGCTGTGTTTACCGCAGCTGTCCTCGAACGCTTGCAAAAAGCCTCTCGCGAATCCACTGAAAGTTCTTTGGTCCTGGTGGGCCATGTCTTGGAGCGCGCTGGAAGCGTTTTCGACTCCATGTAGGGTAGTCTGTGGGCTATCGTTAGCCGTTTTGGAGGCTTATTTTGACGTCTCGGAACTTTATTCGGATCTTTCCGAACTCTCTCGGCGGACCTTTGGCTGCTTGGAGCGATCTTGTCTGGCTCCAGGCTGCGAGCAATATCTTAGAGGACTCCCCAGATGGCCCTCAGATGGCTCAAGAGGCATTCTTTAAAACCAAGAAGCCTTCGGGAGGAACCCCGAGGCGAGCCAGGAAAAAAGAGCACCGATTTCTCTGTTTTGCTTGTTCGTTTTACCCAGGTGCCTGCGGCAAGTTCCACCACCGTGCCAGCCCAGCATTCTCGGTCGCAGTTGTTGGAATCGAATGCTGCTTGCGAGAACAAACGTGGCCCTACGGTGCTCGTTTCTCTGCCTGCTCCTTTTCCAATTTTCCAAACCTCGAGCTTTCAAAAAAGGGTTGTTGTTCTTACATTAAAGCGTTCCCACTTCCCTTTGGCATGTTCAATCTAAGCTTGCAAGGTTGCACCCGTTTCTTTCACATGCTTTCCGACCTGCACTTCTCAAACCTCCCAGCGTCTAATTCTCGGCTTTCGGGAACCTCCCCATGGCCTGAGAGGGCCGCAGAGCCTGTCCCCGACGACCCTGCGGAGTCTCCGGACAGGGAGGACGGGGCGCCGTGCCAGCAGGCGTGCAGAGAGGGGCACATCGGACCCCGCAGCCCCGCGGCCAGGAAGGCGGCCGCCACAAGCCCGCGCAGCTCCCGGGCGGCCAGCTCCAGCGCCGGGGGCCTCGCGCCGCGCCCAGACACGGGCGCGTCGCAACAGAAACACAAACGAGAAAACCCGACGCAGCGGTTTGGGCCGCGTTTGGCCTGTGGGGGCCCTCGCGGGGCCTCAGGTCTGCAGGATCGGTGAAGACCATGGCAGGATACGCTGGGGGAAGCTACTGGAGCTGGACGTGCGCTCGCACGCGGACGGAGCTTCGCGCGCACCTTGGAGGCGCCCCGAGCCTGCCTCGGGAGGAAGGGCCGTCTGGGGGGCCTCTTGCACCGTCTTGAGGCCACCAGGAGCCGTTCTTTGGTTCGGATGCAGCTCCTGGGAGGTCCAATTCTGTCTTTGCCCTGGTCCGAAATCTGGCTCAATCTAGCTGAATCCGGCTTAATCCCGCTTAATCCGGCTTAATCCGGCTTAATCCGAGGCCCACTGCAGCATAACAGCCCCTCAATGGGGCTTAATCTTCTTTAATCTTTCCGACGAAAACCTCCCAGTAGTTGCCTCCTAACTTTGGGCCCTCGTACGCCCTCTTGGGCTGGCTGGAGGCCGTCTGCGGGCCGGCCGGCGCCCTCGGGGGCCCTGCCCGAGGCCCCCGAAGGTCCGAGAGAGGCCTGGACAAGCTGGGCGAACGAAGGCACCGGTGGGGATATACGCCATGCCCCCCTCTCTTGTCTGCCTCCTCGTCGTCGCTGCCTCCCTCCTCCTTCTCCTCGTCCTCCTCCTCCTCCTCCTCCTCGTCCTCCTCCTCCTCCTCCTCCTCCTCCTCCTCCTCCTCCTCCTCCTCCTCCCCTTCTCCTCCTCCTCCTCCTCCTCCTCCTCCTCCTCCTCCTCCTCCTCCTCCTCCTCCTCCTCCTCCTCCTCCTCCTCCTCCTCCTCTCTGCACTGCAGCGTTGTCGCTTGGCACGCGCCCGCCCGCGAAGGCGGCTGGGCGCAGCCGTCAGAGGCTCGTCTCCCCTCTGGTCCGTGTGTCGGGCTGCGGCTCGCAGGCTGGAAGGGGCTTGAGCGAGAGCGAGGTATTGAAGCGTTGCCTATGCTGCCTGCAGTCGACCCGCATAGTAAGGATGGGCAGCCTTCCCAAGGGAACCCTTGCATCCTTGCCTCCTCGGTCCATCCTTGACCGCTTTCGTTGCCCGCGCCCCGCTCGCAAAGCTTCGGACTGGGCATCCGGGGCCCTCGCATCCTTATCGCGTGTCCTCATGGTGCGGTATTTCACGAAGTGGTCCTCTATGCTGCCTGATAAAAAAATCGAGTGTAGTATACGTACTTATCACGAGCAGGTGAATATTTCACGAAGTGGTCCTCTATGCTGCCTAATAAGACAATCGAGTGTAGTATACGTACTTATCACGAGCAGGTGAATATTTCACGAAGTGGTCCTCTATGCTGCCTAGGCCTAGTAAAAAAAAACCTCATGGTGCGGGACGACTGTATCTCCTGCCTGGGCGGCTCGGCACCGCCACACGGCCGAGGGGCACCTGGCGCCTGCTCTCTGCGCGCACGCCGGGGGCGCGCATTGGGCGTGGCTCCGCGGGGGCGGGAGCCACGGCGGGCGCCCCTCTCGGGGAGCCGGCCCGCATGTGCGGCGCTTATGGCATGCCAGGGGGCCGTCAGGGCAGTGAAGACGGAGAGGAGGAGAGGAAGGGAAAGAGGAGGAGGAGGAGGAGGAGGAGGAGGAGAAGGAGGAGGAGGAGGAGGAGGAGGAGGGCTCTTGGTGGTCTCTTGAGGCCCTCTCGGCGTTTCCTGGGTCCTCCTGGGAATCCCCATCAGGAGCCTCTAGAGGACGTCTTGTATGCCTCCTCGGGCCTCTTTGGGCCCTGCTGTGTCGTCTCAGGGTGCTCTTGGCCCGTCTGACGTTAGGTTTTTCACATCTTCCTCTATGGATGCCTACCTGCGAGCTCGCGTCCCCGCATCGGCGGTAATGGACGGAGACGGGCAGGCCGTGTCGCTGCCGAACTCTCAGAACCTTGGTGGATATCCTGGGAGGGGCAGGGGGTTGTTTGCTACCACGTTCGGGCAGGCATTACGCATTGCTTTTGTTTCGCAGTGTGCCTGTGAGTTCATGCCCATGCAGAAGGCTATCCCTGCATTGAGGCGTGCTTGTTTCGGCTTACGAATGCGTGCTCGTGCAAGCATGTGCGCATGCGTAGGTCGCTCGCGTCTTGGAGCTTACATTTTTTGGTGCAACAGCGTGCGGGCCATCGTCTGAGTCAACAAGTGCACTCTCGTACGAATGCTGGGCGAGGGAGGCGACGGTATAAAAATGCTTCCCCTGATGTCTGTGTCCTTCTTTGGAGACTCAGGAACTGCACGGTTTTGGTTTGCCGCCTGCTCGGCATGAGAAGGGATGGGAGGGCAGACGGAGGGGTGGGCCAAGGGTCGTGAGATGCCTCCGCTCATGGGCGCAGGTGTTAACACTCAGCACTGAAGTTGCTGAACTGCTTTCAATACGGACATGTGTTGGGCGCATACGATGTCGCCCGAAACGAACGTCATTGTTTGCGATCCTGCTCTGCAGCCTTCGTTGGCCATCCGTCCTCAATGCTCGCTCTCATCGGACTCGTCGCCGTTGCCCCGCTGCTGCTCCTGCTGCTGCCGCTGCCGCCGCCAGGGCCGCTGCTGATCGAACCAGCTGCTGCAGCCGCTGCTGCTACTGCCGTGCTGCGGCACCGCTGCCGCTGGCGGTGTGGATATGCACATTCTCGGGCCCCGTTAAACCTTGAGATTCGACGTTGCGAACAACATTGCAGCATTGCGAAAAACCACGACCGAAGCCCCAGTCCCTATCTTTTCGCGTTTTTGTTGATTTTTTCGAGGCAGATCGACCAATGATGGTCCTGGGGCCCAAGACTGGGCGGAAACGCCACGTGTGAAAAAACATTGCATCGCCCAAATCTCGGGGTATGTGCAAGAGGTGGAATAGGAGGAGGAGGAGGAGGAGGATGAGGAGGAGGAGGAGGAGGAGGAGGAGGAGGAGGAGGAGCAGGGAGGAGGGAGGAGGGAGGAGGGAGGAGGGAGGAGGGAGGAGGGAGGAGGGAGGAGGAGGAGGAGGACCCGTGTAAACCCAAGAATCACCAACGATGTTGGAATTAACCCTCCCTCCAAGATGCCTCTCTATAGACCACTACAACGGTTCATCTCCATTGAGGGAGCTGCCTCGTTGGAAGACGACCATTTGAAGACCCTGAAGCGTGCCAAAACATTGTTCTCGGGATTTCAATGCCACGGATCAACCTGACGCCTGCGTCTTGACGGTCTGAAATCGTGCCGGAACGCCATTCTTGGAACTTCAACACCGCGGATCACCATAGCTGCGGTGCTCGCATAGTCCGGAATTCGTCCAACACGCCCTTTCTGGTACGTTGATCATTTGAACAGAGAAACTTTTGCACATTTTGAGAACGAATGTACGCGGCGCTAAGGCGAGCGCCACACTTTGAAAACCACCCGCCCTCCATCCGTGAAGCTTTTGCAAATGTTTAAAACGACGGTGCGCGGCGCTGAGGCGAGAGCCACACTTTGAAACCGACCCGCGCTCAATCCGGGAAGCTCTTGCAACTTCTTAAGCCGAGTGTGCGCGGCGCTAAGGCGAGAACCACACTTTGAAAACGACCCGCCCTCAATCCGTGAAGCTCTCGCAAATGTTTAAAACGAAAGTGTGCGGCGATAAGGCGAGAGCCATATGTTGAAAACCACCTGCCCTCAATCGGCGAAGCGCTTGCAAATGTTTATAACGAAGGTTCGCGGCGCTAGGGCGAGAGCCACATTTTGAAACGACCCGCCCTCAATCTGTGAAGCTCTTGCCAAGTTTAAAACCGAATGTGCGCGGCGCTAAGGCGGGAGCCACATGTTGAGAACCACCCGCCCTCCGTCTGTGAAACTGCTGCCACATTTTAAGCGTCAGAGTCATACGTGGTGAGGACGTCTCAGGCGAAACGCCTGGCACGCCCTAGAAACTGGCCTCGGGGTGCGACAGGGAAGCGTTATTTATAAGGAGAAGGAACGGTGAAGGAGGAGAACAAAAGGGAGCTGGACGGGCACACCGCTACACGAAGGTTCAGGTGATGCAAGAAAGACTTGAACCACGGCGGCCTGATGAAGCAGAACCAACCCCGAGAGGACTGGCTAAGGAGGCCATGGGCCCTTGGGATAAGATCTGGAATCGGCATAAACCCACACCCATGGGGCTGCCTGATGACGCTTATAGTTGGCCAGGCTTACCGCAGATCACGGTGCACACGATGATTGGTGCGATATCGGCCTTTCCAGATCACACGGCGGCTGGACAATCTCGAATTGCGCCGAAAACCTTATTCCAGTTGTCTTCCGTGGGGTTACGCACAATGGCGAGGCTCTTCTTGAAATGCAAACAGTTGTTAGCGTGGCCGTCGGCAAGAATATGGAATATCAGGGTTCGCTTACCAAAGCCTGGGGGAGGATGCCGACTGATCGTATTAATTGATCGTGTTAATGAATGCACTGGTACGGATATGGGGACGTGTGAATATTTGAGAACTGGCTGGTGAACAATCCGCCAGCTTATCTATGGGGGTACGGCAGCGGCAGATCTTCGACAGACTGTGCATACGATCACAGTTTCCAGGTGGAGGTGGCGATCGCCCTTGAGGAGGCGAGCATCACGGCCATGCTGGATGCTTACAAGTGCTATGCAATTGTAAAGGAGGAGGAGGGGTAGGGAAGGAGGAGGAGGATGAGGACGAGGAGGTGGAGGAGGAAGGGGAGGAGGAAGAGGATGATGATGATGATGATGATGATGATGATGATGATGATGATGATGATGATGATGATGATGAGGATGATGATGCTGATGATGATGATGATGCTGATGATGCTGCTGCTGATGATGATGATGAGATGATGAGGAGGAGGAGGAGGGGGATGATGATGATGAGGAGGAGGAGGATGAGGAGGAGGGGGAGGAGGAGGAGGAGGAGGAGGAGGAGGAGGAGGAGGAGGTGGAGGACGAGGAGGAGGGGGAGGAGGAGGAGGAATAATAATAGTAGTCAGAAGACAAATGCTGACACTATTAGTACTAATAATAAGACGAATACTTAGAACAATAAGCAGACAATCAACAAACCACATAAGGGTAATACCATTGATACGAAGGATACACATAACAATACACATAATAGTATTATCAAGAATAATCATATGATCAAGACCAATACGAATACTGATCATGTCCCTTAAACTCAGAAGACGACGACCACTACTACTACTACTGATAATCATAATCGTAAGGCTACCAATAATACGAGGAAGGCCAAGCATAATAATACTAATAGTCATAACCATAATAAAACCACACTAATACTTATAATAAGAAGAAGAGTTATACTCACACTAATATTAAGGGTACTGCTGACAATAATACTATTTTAACTAAGCGTATTTGTACTAATACCAGTTATAATATGATCAGTGCACAATCTTAATCATACTCACACTCGTCATCATAATCATAATAAGAATACCACCAGGAATACTAACAATAAGACGAATCAACATATTAACCCTATGCGTAAAACATGAGTCTCATCGTACTAACCCTGATCATATTCAGAATAATTCATAAGACCAATAGGAATGATACGAGTAATGGTAATGCTAAGAAGAACATTGGTATTAAGAAGACGAGTACGATGAATAATAGTAATACGAGTACGAATAATAGTACTAATAACAAGGATCGTAACCATCAGACACTTACTATTTCCAATACTAATACGAATAGTATTACGAATAAAAAGAATAATACGAGAAAGAGGAGGAGGAGGTGCATGAGCAGGAGGAGGAGGAGGAGGAGGAGGAGGAGGAGGAGGAGGAGGAGGAGGAAGGGGAGGAGGAGGAGGCGGAGGAGGAGGAGGATGAGGAGGACGAGGAGGAAGAAGAGGAGGAGGAGGATGCGGAGGAGGAGGAGGAGGGGGAGGAGGAGGAGGAGGAGGAGGAGGCGGGTGGAGGAGGAGGAGGAGACGGAGGATGAGGAGGAGGAAGAGGCGGCGGTGGAGGAGGAGGATGAGGAGGAGGAGGAGGAGGAGGAGGAGGAGGGGGGCGGCGGATGGGGGAGGAGGAGGAGGAGGAGGAGGAGGAGGAGGAGGAGGAGGTGGAGGAGGACAAGGAGTTGGAGGAGGAAGGCGAGGGGGAGGAGGAAAGGGAGGAGGAGGAGGAGGAGGAGGAGGAGGAGGAGAAGGATGCCCGTCGGGCCATAGCGGGCGCACGCAGCGGGGGGCCAGCACCAGCAGGGGCCCCGCCGATCCCCTGAGACCTGCTGCGATTCGATTCGATTTTGGATTCCGATTTTGGTGCCGATTCGGGGGCCTACTAGCCTGCCGATGTCCGCCGATTCGACTCTTCTCGACTCGGCTGCCGATTTTTGCCGATCCGATTCACTTCGATCGCCGATCCGACTTATCGATTCGAATATGGGCTCTCCTGCGGCTGTGCCGGGCCAGCGCCGATCTGGGTTGGGTTGGCCAGATCTCCGCCGACGTGACTTTCTCACATCGTGGGTCCACAGAGGTCCCCCGAGCTCGGGGCGGTGCGATTTCTCACACCGGGCTTTTTCGCTCAGTTTCGGGCCCCAGGCCCATCACGTATTGTTCCGGATGGAAAATGCCGCAGAAAGATCGGGCTTTTGGGCTCCAGTTGTGACTTTACGCGACGTTGTTACCTAACAGCGAAGACTGATAGGTTTCTAGTAGTGTCAAAAGAGGTCACAGATCACTCCACAGGGGGGTCCGGGCAGGTGTTGGGAGTTGCCGGGCGGGCCTGTGCCGAGCTCGTTTTTCACCAACAGTCACACACTTCGTGCTCTTCGAGTTCCCAGAACTCCATTCCCAGGCTCATTCTGAATAACCGGATGCAACAGTCACACACTTCGTGCTCTTCGAGATCCCAGAACGCCATTCCCGGGCCACATTTAGAATAACCGGATGCAACAGTCACACACTTCGTGCTCT